GATTCATATCTCAGGAAGTATGTGGGATGGGTTGGGATAAGGACAGGAAGATGGCAAAGTAGATAGTGGTTGTGGAAAATGTGTTAAGAATCTGGAGGGCTGTGTCTGCATGAGGCTCCTACTGCTTGCTAACTATGACCGTGAAACCTCACTTCTCTCCTATGAACAAAGAAGGTCAGGATATTGCTATTGTGGGGATGAAATGACTTGTTCCATGTCAGAGAACTATACCCTTCCTAGACCCCCCCCCGCCCAATGTAGATCCCTGTTGCAACTGAGTGGTGACAGGGGCTTAGGTATTTAATCTTTAATTCTCTTATGCAGAGAATGCCTCACACATAAGCCAGTATTGTAGGAAGGAATGTGATTACTGTATGTATATTCTAGGTATAGTGAATTTCAGAATGAGCCAAGATCCTGAAGCCAGACTGTTCATATTTGTTCTTATATCCTTCATTTACTAGCATGTAAACTTAGTGATGTGACTTATCTGGATTATGTTTTCTTGATGCTTATCATTAAGAATTGCTTTGAAGAATATATTAGTTCCTACATGGAAAACACTGAGAACACTACCTGGCATGTGGTGAATACTTGCTTTGTATTATTATTATCTAGTCTTGTCTGTTTTAAGTAGCAATGACTGATCTAGTTTTTGGTTGACTGACTGCAGGGGAGTGCACAGCACACAGTTGTAGACATCTTTGGTGCATCCCTCTATCTATGTAGATCTAAGTATGAGCCAGGCTACTTACATTAGGATTTCACAGAATGAGCTCAGCCTCATTCCTGGCCTGTGTATTGGGATACAGTTGTGCCCTGCCCATTCTCCTTTTCTTCATCCTGTTCCCATTTCCTAATATGGATAGTTTTTCAGTTTTTTCCAGCAGTTATCTGATGAATATATATGGCCCTTAATGTGTGGCATGGCCAGTTTAGAGATTAAGGAAAATTTTTCTTTCACACTCAATGCTGAATCCTATTAATGCAACCCAATGTTACCTTGAGTGTTTTCTCTACATTATGCTCTCGAGTCAATTTATTTGTTATTAACCAAAGCCCCCTGAATTCACCCCCACATTTTCTAGTCCTGTAAAAGTTCCTCTTTCCTTTATTACATGTATTGATTGCTTAATGTAGTTCTAAATGCCATGTTGGTAATTGACAATAGATACACTCCTCAAGGAGTCTAGAATTTCCTGGGATCCCATGCATGCAAATAGACTTGTAATAATGTGGGGCATTGATAATTGTTGCACTATAGATGTACAAAGATTGCATCATAACAGAAATCAAAACACCTGGTTCTCAGTAAGGAGGGAAGGGGACAGCATGACAGTGTGGACAGTGGGGCTGAGAGACTGCTGGAAAATGCTCATGGAGGAGAGAGTGTTTACTATGCTGTAAGATTGTAGCCACCAAGAAAGTGGGAGGAAAGGATATTTCAAGCAGAGTGAAGAACCAGTTATAATAGCACAAAGCAGCCTGGGATTCTGTTGCCTGCAGAGCTCAGTGTGACGGAGCCCTGGCAAGCACACAGAGGAACTGGTGGGAGAGGGGCTGACCAGGTCACATGTCATCACAGGTTCCCGTATTATAGTAGGCAAGTAATAGTTAATGCCATGAATGATGAGTTAATAGGAAACGATTTTAGATCAGAACGGGGTGTGATTAGACAGATGTGCATTAAAAATTCTACACTGGCAGCTTGTAGAGTGTGATCTGGGACTTACAGGCAACGAGGGTAGAGCTAAGGTGGTTAATGAAGAGGCTGTTTCCATCATGTAAGTGAGACAAAAACAGCAACAATGAACAATCTCAAAACATGAAACCATGACCAAAGCCATAGGAATAGAAAAGAAAGAAGTTTGAGAGATTTGTTAAGTATATGTACTTTGAGCTCTCAGGCACTTTGAACAGCAAGCAGCTCAGTATTTGAAAACCATCTGGATCTGGCAGAAAGAGGAAAGAGTCAACTCAGATGGAGAACAATGGTACCCACAGGACAAGAAACAAGGAACTGAGTTGGGAAAAGTGAATCATTTCCCTTCAGACCTTTGGAAACCCATAGCACATTCACATGGAAATCTATAGCAGGCATTTGCCTTATTTTAACAAACTCAAGAGGAATTTTTGCCTGTGTGCTGAGAAGAGGTCCTGGGTATTATTCATCAATACATAACACAGAAAATCTCTGATACCGAACTATGTATCAGGCCAACCAAAGAAAACTGCAGACCCTCATGATCAGAATCCTAACCTATGAGGGAAATATGGAGAAGGGTAAACCTGGAAAATGATTTTGAGAGATGCCAGTTGAGGAACTGGTTAAAAGTTAGGAAAAAAATGCTAGCTGTATAACCTCTGGCAGAATGAGTTAACCAAGTTCACAAAGCATGTTGTAATATTTTAGATTGTTGAATAACTTTACAGCAGGTGCCCTTCAGGGTAAGCTGCCACGTTTTGGAGAAATCTGCCTGTCAGTGATTGGGACTATGTCCTCCCTTCCTTGGGTCCCCAATTCTAGTAGAGTCTGAGTTTTACCTTCTTGCAGGGACTTGGGGCTGTTTATTAGTTCAAACGAGGTAAAGATTTCTTCTCTGATTTTCCTTCTGTTTTTATAAAGAGGAATTCAAACAGAAATGATTTTTTTTTCTATGCAGCATTTAAAGAGATGTCCCATTTCTTTACGACTTCAAGCTATCTGGAAAACAGCATCTACTGTGACATTGTTTTTATTTTAAATTGAACTGAGTCTTTCATGCATTTCAATTATGAGTTCCTTTTAAGCAGAAGCAAGATGTGTTTATCTTAATGTCTCCAGGGCTCAACCCGGCACCCAGTCTACAGAAATCTTCCACAAGCACTAAATTTTTGCCTTTTTTGTTGCTATTATACAGGTCCATATTTGAGCATTTCCAGGCTGTCTCAAACCTTCTTACCTCAAAATATCTCTGTCACTGGATGAGACCTATTTGTCATTTCAGTTTATTAATACGACTCTCTCTGTGTGTGTCTCTCTCTCTGTCTCCCTTCCTTTCTTTCCTTCTTTCTTTCTTTAGTGTGTGTTTATGTGTGCATGTTTGTGTGTGCAGAGGCTAGAGGATGACCTCAGATGCTCTTCCTCGAGAGCTGACTACCTTATTTTATTTTTATAGTATTTTTTATTTTTTGAGAATTTCATACACGAGTATTATTTTTTGAGATGGTATTTCTTACTGGATTCTCCTGTTTCTGCAGCTTCAATATTGCTATTGCAAGCATGTACTGCCACACCTGATCTTTTTACATGGTTCTTTGCATTGAACTCAGGTCCTCATGCTTCAGTGGAGAGCATTTTACTCACTGAGTCGTCTCTCCAGTCCTAACTCTGCTTCTTTTAACTACTGTTCAATGTCTCTTTGTTTACTCCAAGTGTTCAAGTGAAATGAAGATTTAAGTCTGCTTATATGACACAGCTTCTGAGAGCTGACAAATGAAATTGAGACCAGCCTGAAATTGAGACGAATCTGTCAGAATTACCCTATTACTTTTTGCTTCTTCAGGATCCATTGTTTCTACTTCCCGTGTTCTATTTTTCTTTCTCTTTGAAATTTTCATAATGAAAAAAAAATTAAGTCAATACTACGCTGTGAAGTACAGTATAATAGACCAGATGCATTCTGAACCTTTTTGGCCTCAACTGTCAAGATCTTTACCTTTCCATAATTAGAGTCTTGTAAATGTCACATCAACCAGTCTCTCCATGTTGGTTAGAATTAAGCTTAGAGTAGACTATGCTGAATTCTTTGTCCATCATCTGCGAGAAAGGGTTCACAGTAGGGCGGTCATGGCCTTGACTTGATTTACAAGTGAGAACTTCCTAGTGTATTAGTTACTTTTTTGCGGCTGTGATAAAACACCAACCAAGGCAACTTATAGATGAAAGAGCTTACAGTTTCAGAGGGATAAGAGTCCACCACTATGGGCAAGCATGGCCTGAAGCAGCCAGAATAGATAGCTAAGTACACACATCTTCAAGTAGGCACAGGAAGCAGAGAGAGCCAGACTGGAAGTTGGCAAGCTATATACTCTCAAAGCCTGCCCCCAGTGATGTGCTTCTTCCAGTAAGGCCATACAAGGTTCAATGACCCTTCCCAAACAGTGTCACCAAATGGGAACTAAGCATTCAAATACTTGGAGTTTCTGGGGGACCTTCTCATTCAAACCACCACACTAGGTCATTGCTTTAGTTTCCCTTTGTTTTGCAATCGCAAGATTCCATTTATGATGCCCACTGCTGACTCCCAGGTAGTCTTTTATATGCTTCCCCCAAAGTGACTATGGGACCTTCCTTGACTTCCATGATAGCCCGTGCTCTTCCTGTACAGTGCTTTAAGCTTCTCAACATACTATGACTGTTCCGATGCCCTTCTTTTCCGTACCCTGTGAGCATTGCTAGTGAATGATGGTAATTTGGAGGCCATGTGCCAATCCTAGGTTTAGTTCATTGTCTGGCACATTGGGACCAGTGATGGTCTTTGCTTCTTGTCCCCATACGGACAGAAGCATTTCTTGTTTCCTTGCTAGTGAGACTGAGTTTCCTTATTCAGAAGACTTGGCAGATTTACCCTGTACGAAGTAAAAAATAAAAAGAAAACTTGTAAAGAAGTTTCATAGCAAGAAAAAAGAGCAGGTCTGAATTTATCATCCCTTTATATATACTCTGTTTTGATTGCATTTATAATTGTTCTTTGATTATTTTATATACTGTGTATAAAATAGGTGAGTATTTATTAGCTAATGGAAAATTATTTTAGCTAGTAAAATTTTTGAAATAGTCTATTTCTGGGTGATAAAATGCAACATTCTGGCTTTTTCTTACTTAAGATCAGAGCTTTATTGTGTATATGCTTTTTGCATATAATTGGGTAAACAAGTTCATGAAAGAGGCCCACTGTATTGTTTCCTAACATTTTTCTTTCCTGAAAGTATATTGTCATTTCTTTTCTTTTGTGCAGGGGATCAGCAGTCTCTTCAGTTCTTTAAAAGTGGTGCGCCTCTTACGATTGGGCCGTGTTGCGAGGAAATTGGACCATTACCTGGAGTATGGAGCGGCAGTCCTTGTGCTCCTGGTGTGTGTGTTTGGACTTGTTGCCCACTGGCTAGCCTGTATTTGGTATAGCATTGGAGACTATGAGGTCATTGATGAAGTCACCAACACCATCCAGATAGACAGCTGGCTCTATCAGCTGGCCTTGAGCATTGGGACTCCTTATCGCTACAATACCAGTGCAGGGATTTGGGAAGGAGGACCCAGCAAGGATTCACTGTATGTGTCCTCCCTCTACTTCACCATGACGAGCCTTACAACCATAGGATTTGGAAACATAGCCCCGACTACAGATGTGGAGAAGATGTTTTCAGTGGCCATGATGATGGTTGGCTGTAAGTACCTTTGACTTTTGGTTTGGTTTGATTTTTTAAAAATGATGTTAGTGTTTACAGTTTTTCTGGCTCTAATCACTGGATTAAAATGATCTAGTTTATCTTGAGAAAGGTGTTTTAAGTGATAGCATTTGCAATTGGTTTAATTTTTATTTGGTCTTAGAAGATAAAAAATACAGAATAATGTATTTTACTCTTTAGAATGCATTAGCACCTGAAAAACAGTGTGGCTAGGATGACAAAAAAATCTGAATGGGAAGTCTGTGATTTAATTCTATGCATGGCGTTGTACCTAGCAGCTCCTGGGAGGCAACCAGCACCGGCATCTAGACAGGAGGTATCTGGCATATTCTGTAAATTTTGTTGGCGGTATGTTAAATTCCTAAAAAAGCAGATAGAATCTGAAGTAAAATGCTTAACTTAGAAAAGATTTAGTCAATAATTGAATTTCTGAATTAAAGTGGACCTCAGGATACAGGATACAGGATACAGTTTACAATGAAGACTAGTGAAAAGAAGTTCATAAATTTAGTCTTTTTACAAATAGATCGAGTGTATGCTGAAAGAATGAAGGGATTAGGAAACGTAAGGCCATTCAGCAATGACAGGATTCAACATGAATGTCTGAGAGCACAGCATACTGATGATGTTCTTGGAAGCAGAATGACCTTTCAAAGAAGCAAAGAGCTAAGGATCAGGTGCTCTGCACTCAAATTCAGACTGGATGGCATCAGAGGCCCAGACTTTAAGGAGGTACAAACCCTGGACACTGTTTTAAAAGATCTTGAGGGAAAGTTCACAAACGTGCACGTTCAAGCTGATCTAGATGACTCATACGTGTCTAGTGCAGACCCCAGCGTGTCTTTAAGATTGCTGTGCTGAAGGTGTGTTTAGGATCAGCATACTTCCTAAGCCTTTTAATCATGCTCATTGGTGTTTGGTCAAAGTCATCTTTTTTGAGGATCCACATCATAAAGGCTCAGATTCTGACATTAAAAAAAGATCTTAGAGTCCAGGATCATTGGTTGGTTTGGATGTGAATAACTTGGGTCTAAGCATTCACACTTTTAGAGTGTCTGGAAGCTATTGGAGCACCAGTGTTGAAACTGCTTATCTTCCTGGCTTGAATCTTTCTAGGTATAGTTACAGAAAAAAGAGCACCAGGGTTCTAAGTGTCACTTTGAGCTTTCAGTGAGAGGGAGAATTACAATGCAAATGTTGTTTCTTCTGGAGGCTTTCAGGTGGAAAATGTTCTATTCATACAGCGATCTCCATGATTAACCAAGCCTTTATTTAATACTAAAAATGTATTGATAAGATGTCTTGGCAAAAAAGTGCCTCAGAGATTCTGAAGACAGCATTTTGTCAGATATAGTATTTATAATGATGCTACTTTTGCTACTTATAAAATAAATTTCCCTTATACTTCTGCATAGCTAGAATTTTAAAGACCTTTTATTTTGAAGTAATCACATCTACCGGAAATTGCAATGATAGTGCAGAGAGGGCTTTGTCCTCCCTCTTCACCTTGTTTCCTCTTCCTATCCCTAAATCGACTGTGTTTTATCATGCATGTTGATTCTTATAAATGCCACTGCAATTAAGATATGGAATTTGGGGCTGTGAATGTAGTTTAGTGCTATGCACTAGCCTAGAAGGCAAAAGGCCTTGATTTTGATCTCTAGCATCCCCCCCCCGCCAAAGATTTATAACTGTTCCAACACCACAAAGATTTCCTTCATGTAATTAATGTCCTTCCCCAACTATCTTTAATATCTTAAAACTAATACTCAATGCTCAATCAATTTTAGGAATTTTGTATAAATGAAAAAATGCAAAGTGAAACTTTTTACATTTGGCTTTTATACTTCACATAATGCCCTTGACATCTATGTAAATGGAATGTATCAGTAGTTGTTTATTTTTTCCTTTTTATGTATGAGTATCATTTGGTGGTTTGGGTATTCCACTGTATAACTGTTCATCTGTTGAAGAGCATCTTAATTTAAAAATTTTTTGTTTGTTAAAATTTTTCATTGTACATACTTAATATACTGTGGTACTGTGTAATGTAAAAACACATTTACACAAATGTGCATTGTACACTGGCTTGATAACTGCCACATCCCTCTTCCCTCCCTCTCTTCCTGTCCCATCCTTTTTCTCCTGCTATTCTCCAGCTACTCCCCTTTGTTCCCTTGGACACTTTAGCTTTTACATTCATGTCATAAATACATATATGTTTTATGTATCCAGGGACCATGGATGAGAGAAAACATGCAACATTTGTCTTTCTGAGACTTGTCTAATTTCCTTAATATGAGTATCTCCAGTTTCACCAATTTTCTGCACATGACATAGCTTAGTTCTCTCTCTCAGAATACACACACACACACACACACACACACACACACACAATGTGCACCATAATTTCTTTGCCCATTCCTCTGTTGTTGGACATTTACCTTGGTTCCATAGCCTATTATGAATAGTGCTTCAGTAAACACTGATGTACAGCACTGTTGTTTCTGGCCTAGACCATTGTGATAATTTCCTACATTTTCCTTCTATTGTTACTCTTGCCCCAAAGTGTCTACCTATAATCCAGAGTAGCTCTTTTAAAGTAAATAAATAACACCATTTCTCAACTCAAGCCTCTCCAATGCAGATAAAATAAAATCCAGAAACCAACTCCATCTTTTGAGGACTTACCGCTAAGCCCTAGCCTGCCTTCCCCTGTGCTGTTTACTCCTGCTGCTCTTGTCTAGCCTGCCCCCCCACCAGTCCACGCTAGCTCTCTTGCTGTCTCCGAGCATATCAAACCGCGTTATGTCAGGGTTTTCCCTACTACTTATAACTCTCTTTCCTGATCTACACCCTGAATTCATGCAGGTTTCCACCAAGTCACCTTTCATAAATTCCTCCCCAGGCTTCCCTACTGTAAAAACCACCTCAATACCAACCGCCACATACAACAGCTTTTGATCATGTCCTCCACGGAACCTATCAAGAACTGAAATCAAGTTTCCTCTGTTTTACTTTTCCTCCTAAACGTCAGCCCCACAGCACAGGGTCCTTGGTTGCTTCTCCGATTTTTCTGTGCCCCCAACCTCTAAACAATTCCTAACTGTTCCATGCTTGATTCTATTTCAATGGGGGGAAGAGGATTCTGATGGTCATGCTGAAGATCTGCCGTTTTCTGTACCTCAGATAGGACTCTGATGAAGATGGCTGGCTAGAGACAAGTGCTCTTTGAGTATTAACCCTGATTTTTCTGTGAAATCTCTGCTTGTCTTCCTCTGGGACAGTAGTTCCTAGTTCCTGCAGCTTGACTGGCCAGCCCTGAGTCTCTCAATTGGCTTGTTGATGTAAGTTCTAAGAAGTCAGTGGAAGCACCAACAGGGCTTCCTCCCCTCACTTTGCTTTTTGTGTCTACCTCTGTTGGAAGTTTCCTCTTATTTTAGCAGGTTCCAAGCTTCATTTGATTCAGAATTGATTCTATTTTATTCTATACTTTTTGTATGAATTGATTTTATATACAAGATCTAGAAGATTTCCTCTTTCCTCATCTTTAATTTTTGTCTAGATTTTAAGATGAACACCAGATTTTAATCCTGGTCATCTTGAGTTTCTGCCGTCCTATTTCAACACAGGAGGATAAATTTTCTGCATCTATTCCCATATTTAGCATCTTTCTGTCTGTTAACTTTTCCACTTATGCCTCCGTGGAGGTTTACTTTCTATCGCCAAACTGTTTTAGGAAAAGGGATTTTAATATCTTTCTTTCTTCTTGGTCTTTGGTGATTTCATGACATATTTCCCTTCTAATAAACTGATTTCAGACTTATGAAGTGTTATAGTACCTTGTACAGTTCCTACCTTTGTTAGACACATATGTACAGAATAGACAGATATGAATGTGGAGCTGTTTATACTCTTGGTATTATTCTATAGTACTATCAAAAAAATGAGACAAAACAACATTGGTATTCTCAGAATTGATTATGTGCTGTCTGTCACTGCCAGGGGTTCAAGGGCATGTGTGTGTGTGTGTGTGTGTGTGTGTGTGTGTGTGTGTGTGGTAGGAAAGGAGTTAAAGGGCAGATGGAGGTAGAAAACAGGGAAGCTCATGCTTTTGTTTGTGCTGGGAATACAGAGTCTGTGTTGGCTGTCTGATAAGCACCATTTTGGACCTTATAACTCAATAACTATAAAAAACCTTTTATCAAAAAGTTGCTGGCAATACCAGAGATGTCAACTTCCTGTATGTTGTTGAAAATAATAATAATAATAATAATAATAATAATAATAATAAATCAATTAGTTGTAAGTGGTAGCTTGTTTTGGCTGTTGTTCTTGGGAAAACCATTTTAAAATTTCTAACCTTGCAGTGAAATTTGGAAATTTCCATGGCAGCCAATCTGGTTCCTCCATCCTCTATAAACCCTTTCTTTTGTGATATGGTCCAACTTCCAGTTTTTTGCTACCTAATGCTGACTACATGTGGATTCTGTCCAAGAATTTAGATGCATGACTGTTTTTGCTAGTATCAGAGGAATATTCAAAGAAAAGTTATGACCATGGCTTTGGTTTGACTTTTCCTGGGGTGATGTAAACAAATGTCTATTCATCCCAGATGGGACACTGATGGCAGACCAAAGACATGATTCCACTCACATCGAATTTTATGAACTAATGAGTTTGAGTTACTTAACAAAAGCATGGGTGATTCAAAGGCAACAACTTCACTAGAAAGCTGGCTCCAGCATGAGATATGAGTCAGGAAAGCTGCTGCCGTGGAGCTCTATGCCCACCTACCAGGGAGCTTCACAGAAGGGTTTCTTCCTAGAAAATGTTTGTTGCCTTTATAAACTTGAGGAGGGACATTGTGAATCTTGTCATTTTCTAAACATCTTAAGTTTGGTAAGTTTCATGAGCTTCTTGAATCTTATAAGCCTGTGTCTTACTTCCAGGAAGGACTGTTTCAATTTGGAGGAAAC